GGATCATGACCTGAGCCGAAGGCAGACACTTAACGACTGAGCCACCCAGGTGTCCCAAGATTTCATTCTTTATGAAGGCTGCCTAATATTCCACTGTCTGTATATGTGTATATATATATATATATATCTCACATCTTCTTCATCCATTCATTAGTCAGTGGAACATCTGGGCTCTTCCTACAGTTTAGTTATTATTGATAATGCTGCTATAAACATCAGGGTGGGGGCACCTCGGTGGCTCAGCTGGTTGGGCAACCAGCTCTTGGTTTCAGCTCAGGTCATGATCTCAGGGTTATGAGACCGAGCCCTGCATCAGGCTCAGTGTGGAGTCTGCTTGTCCCTCTCCCTCCCCTTCTGCCCTTAGCACTGGTGCGCCATGCTCGCTCTCTCTCTCTCTCTCTCTCCCGCCCTCAAATAAATAAAATCTTCCCAAATATTCAGGGTGCATGTACCCCTTTGAATCTGTAGTTTTGAATCCTTTGGATAAATACCTAGTAGTGCAGTTGCTGGGTCATAGGGTTGTTTTATTTTTAACTTTTTGAGGAACCTCCATACTATTTTCCAGACTTGCTGCACCAGTTTGCATTCCCACCAACAGTATAAGAGGGTGGGGAAAACTCTTTAGGCTACTTGCCCATTTTTGTGGAGGTTTATTTAGTTAAAACTGGATTGATAATATCATCTATAAATACACTTAACCAGCCACACTGTTTTATGTTACCATATGCTGATGCAAATAATTAAAGGAAATTACTAATTTCAACTCTTGAAGTTGTGAAATTCCCATTCTTCCCTTAGGATACCTCATTTACTATCTGTGACATGTGTCTAAATGTTAAAGTGCAAAGTAAGGACACCAGGGTCAATCCATACTTTTGAAAAAATTAATGAAACAAATTTTTCCTATTTGTTAGATAAAATACAAGCCAAACTTATAATATTTTTTCTGCACTCCAGTGGGTCATATTGCATACCCCAATGAAGTACATATTCCACCACTTTAGATGTCATTGGTCTAGACATGAGGTAATGAACACCTTGTCAGCCATCAGCAAAAAAAACAAAAAAAAATTAAAATGCATATCATACTACCTACAAAACCATTTTTATAAAGGTTTTATTTTTTTTAAGCTAAAAATTTGGGGGAAGATTTCAGGTATTCAGCACTTTGTATGATCTTAAAAATATTGCTTTCATAATACTTTGTATTGGAATAAGAAGTTAGTATAGGGGACAGAAAAAGAAAGCATTAAAAGGTGATCTAGAACGCTTACAGGAAGACCAAACCTCCAAATTAGAATTCAGGTTACTAGGTACAGGCTGGAAATGAACATTTAAAAGCACTCTGGATTCCTCCTTGGCATTTCATCACACTTTACTTATTCAACTTCTGTCTTACCAGATTAGTTATAAAATCCCATGAGAGCAAGGGCTGTTCTGTCTTGTTGCCTGCCAGCCACAAGAATATTACCATGTGGCACACAGTAGATGTCCAAAAAATATTTACTGAATGAATGCATGAAAGAATGAAGTGGTATAACTGAAGTCATGATTAAGAAACTAATCAAAGAAAAGAGAACTAAAAAGGGCGCCTGGGTGGCTCAGTTGGTTAAGCGACTGCCTTCAGCTCAGGTCATGATCCCAGGGTCCTGGGATCGAGTCCCACATCGGGCTCCCTGCTCGGTGGGAAGCCTGCTTCTCCCTCTCCCACTCCCCCTGCTTGTGTTCCCTCTCTCGCTGTGTCTCTCTCTGTCAAATAAATAAATAAAATCTTTAAAAAAAAAAAAGAAAAGAGAACTAAAAAAAAGTGCTAAACATTGAACTTAAGGAATACCTACAGTAAAACCATCAGAAGTGCCAGCAGAATAGAATGGACAAGTCCAGGAGGTAGAGGGCAAACCAGGAAATAATAAGGGCCTATAAAGGTGTGCATCATTGGGAAGGTGGAGAATAGAGTCCTGTGGAAGTCTGAGAAAAAGCCAATGAGTTTATCAAGAAGATAACTGGCAACCTCAAGAATGCTATTTAGGTGTAGTTATAGCAATGGAAGTCAACTGCATTGAAACAGGCAGGAAATGGATAGTAAGAGAATAGAGGCAATACACGAGTCTTATGATTTTGTCAGTGAAACAAGAGAAACAGTATTATAGCTCTAAAGGACTCAACAAGTTAGAAGTTTTTTTTTTTTTTTCAAGTTAGGAAGATCTACATGTTTGAGGAAGAGGATTCAGAGTTTTTTCTATTAATGGTGGGCACAGTTTTGTGATCCTAAAATGGAATGAACATAGATTACAGCAAATATACTTATTGTGAAGACAGATGTCCAGAAAGAGAGAAAGTGCTTTTCCACATAAAAATCTAAAATGGACAATAAAAAAAAAATAAATAAAAAATAAAATGGACAATAAATGAAAAACAAGATTCCTGATTACATATTTCCTTTTTTCATATTTCTGGGAAAACAGGTTGAGATGAAAGATACACGGAGTAGTTTTGGTCTTGGAGACTCATTCTTTTGGAGTTACCTTAGAAAGAAGTGGTTGTTTCTGTCACCACCACAAAAAAATAAAAGAACACAAACATTTATACATATCTGCTATTCTTTTTGTCTTTAGGAACGAATCTGTCAGCCTTTAACAACAGCTACTGCTTCTGTGACCGCTTCAGTAAAACATTAAAGCACAAACATGAGCTCATTTCATTGCCTGCTGGGCCTGCATTTTCCCAGCCCTAATGTAACGAAAGGACAGTGACAAAAAATAACATGGAATGTTTTCTTATTCTTGAAATACTGTCTCTCCCTCTGTGCTATCTCCTGTTTTAACGTAATTCAAACATAGGTTGGCATCATGAAAGATGCTTAGGAAGTTACTTGGAATCATGGGCTCTTGAACAGATTTCACATCATATTCTCATTTATTAAAATTCCCCAGGCTGAATGTTAAGGGTTAAGAGTTATTCTATCTCACTCACCATTTTATACTTCTTTGCGTCCTCCACCTGGCACTTTGTGTCCCCCGTCACCGCACTTTGCACACAGTAGGCATCTCATGTTCCTCCTGTAATCCAGCGTGGGCCTGCTGCCTTAAAACAGTCACAAAGTCCCTTCAGCAGCAAATAGTTAACAGAGCTTGAGGTGGGGGTGGAGATGTCCCCGAAAGTTGTCAAGTAACCGAACTGAGAGCTCCTTGAGGCCAGGGACAGTCTTGTTCAGCATGGTATCTCAGCACCTGATTCAGTCCTGGTACACAGAAGATTCTCAGTAATGCTGAATGAACAACAGACTCGGTGGGACTATAAGTTCAACCCTATTCTAATAGCAAACGTTCGCCGAGTGCCACCAGGCGTCCGGGATAAGCGGGGCGCTTGTGCTACAAGATGACAGGGAGCTGTTGGTTCTAATTTCACAGATAGTGTAATTCTATACTACAATTTTCAAATTTTCTCTTAAAACAAAAAGGGGAATTTGGGTTGTCTCTGCTTTTAGTTTTCAGGGGCTTAAATGCAAACCTACAGCAGCTCTACGACCCCGAGACTCCCTTCTCGGGGGTAACGTGACCCTCCCTACTGGGCGGCTGGCCGAGCTTCCGGCGCGCCCAGCGACTGCGCCGCGGCGATCCAGAAGGGGTCGCTGTTCCCGCGATAACCTATGAAAAGGCTCCACCCCGCGGCCCGCGCCGGCTTCCTCCGTCCGAAACCCCACCCCACACGGCGGATTACCAGTCGGTCAGTGTCCGACACGCCCACCGCGGCTAGTGCCGACGCTAACGCCCCACTCCCGGCGGAGCAGGCCCTGCGTCTCGGCCGCTGCCGCCGCCGCCGCCGCCGCGGCGCGCGGCCCGCCCCGAAGCGCTCGTTCTCTCCCTTCGCCCCACCCTCTCGCTTCCCCTTCACGGAAACGACAGCTGCGGCGGCGGAGCTGGCGCCGCCTCCCTCCACCTACCACGTCTGCCCCCGCCACTCTCGCCAGGCGCCCCAGCCCGGCCGCGGCGCCTCCCCGCTAGGTCAGCGGGCAGCTCCGCCCGGCTGCCGCCCAGGATGAACATCATGGACTTCAATGTGAAGAAGCTGGCGGCCGACGCGGGAACCTTCCTCAGTCGTGCAGTGCAGGTACCGCGGTAGGGCGTGGGGGGGAGGGCCGGCGGCGCCCGAGAGGGCCAGGGAGGGGCCGCCCGAGGCGGCGGTGCTCTCCGCACCCGGCTTCACCGACTGGCTGGCAGGCCTGCGGCCGGAGGCCTGGCTGATGGGCGCGGCCTGGTGCCCCTCCGGGTCCGGCGGCCGTTTTCTTCCCACCTCCAGTTCAACCGCCGCTTCCCCGGAAGCGAGGCGGGGTGGGGACGCTGCCGGGAGCTTCCCTGGCCCCTGAAGGACATTTCGAGTTCGGCCGCGGGCCGAGACACAGCACCGCCCGCCTTTCTGGCCCCACGACGACGGTGCTGGTGTGGCCGCCCTCCTGGGGCGGGCGAGGGCCCTGCGAGTCCCGCGCGGTAACCGAGACACAGACCTTTCTTGCACCACCCCCACCCTTTCCTTTCGTCTCCCTCACTCTCCCCGCGGAGTCCAAGAAGGAAGTTTCTTTTTCCTGCCCCTGAACCCAAAGAGCTGCCAACACAGTTCCTTCCAGCCCTCTCTCTCTCTCTCTCTCTCCCTGAAAGGACGGTCGCTGGGCTTAGGCAGTCCGCGGTGAAATGGAGATCACCAGTTGGCGTCCTTACTCCGCCAAGGCCTTGGGAAGCCTGGAGTTTGGGGGTTCCCACTCATGCTCAAAATGGGAAGCACCGGCAGTAGGGCTTGGAGAGGGGGGAGGGGGAGACTCGTGTTTTGCCTGTTGTCAGAGTTTTGTGTTTCAAATACACTTTAAGGGGGAAATGTAGCTCTCTCGCGGCATTCCACAAAGAAGTATCAGTCTAGGGAACTTGGACAGTTTTCCACAGTCATCACCCACATTATGCCAACTCAGTTAAAGCTATGAGCAGATGTAAATTTCACCACAACAAGAGTTATAAACAATCTGGTGTTAATGGCATAGTCACAGTAGCAACAACATTCTCTTTTGTAAAGAGAAAACAAAAATAGTTTTCTAATATGCATACCAAACTGATACTGAAATGTAAATCAGTTGTCCTGCCTTTACTACTATACTTGTCTCCTTTACCGCAATTTTATTGGTATAGTTGATCTTACATTGCACTGCTCTTGGCAAAAGAATGGTAGAACTAGAGCAAGGTAATAGCTGCCTATATTGTGAAAAAACCGTCAAACGTTTGCAAGGCATTTGACAGATTACCTACTATCCTTTCTGTAATTCTGCCAGATAGATATTATTAACTCCTTTTATATATAAGGAAGTAGCCTTAGAGAGGTTAAGAAACTTGATTAACTTGCATGGCTAGTAAATAGCCAAGTGCTGTCTGATCTACTACTCATTGCAAGCTGCTTCTCTCTTCCAGGGTAGGCATTGTAGATATAAAATAAAAGAATGTTACAGGCTAGAGAGACCTTAAAGATCATCTAGTACTACAGTCTGAGCATTTCAATAATACTTAAGCAGATAGCACTTATGGCATGGGAAATTCCTTCTAGGTCTTGATTCTCAGTTCCATAATCTGCATAGTGAGTAATAAGCTAGCTGCCTTAACCCTCATCTCCCTATTCTCCATGAAAATATAAGCTATATTGTAAAGACATTGAGCTGTATGGTTAAAATAATTTCTTGATTTAAATTAACCTACTTTTAATAGCTCAAAGATGGGGAGCAAGAAGAATGAGTGCTTGAAGGTCTGAAATGAATTTGATTTGTGAGACTTAAAGTTAACTGAAAAGAGGCCTTTGGTGTTTTATTGCTGATTCCCAATGATTTTGTTTGCTGAGTGGAGATTTGACATTATAATGACACTTTTAAAGACAGGTATGTTTTCAGGTACATAATCCACGGTGCTTAAATAGGACAGACACATGTACTAGAATTTGATTTAAATTGTCAATAGACTTGATATAAAAAATCTAGCAAAGTTCTCAAAAGAGTACCCTAGATGAATTTTAATTACTCATTGTTTCAGATTCTTTAGTTTTTAAAGTCTGTCCTAATCTCTTGAGCTATCAAATAATTTTCAGTATTAAATACTTTCATGCCTACTCCGTGTCTGCCTTACACTGTTTTGGACACTGGTGATACAGCAGTGAATAAATTAACAAAACATCTGCCCTCCTGGAGCTTATAATCTAACAGTAAATATATCAGGTGATGGAGAAAAAGGCCGGAGGTAATAAGTAAATGGCGGGGGTGGCAGTTTTTGCCATGTTGTATAGACATAATGATCATGGCAAGCCTTTCCAATAGGATCAAATTCCAAAAGACCTCAAGGAAGTGATAGTTCCAGTTTTTTGGAGGAAAAGCAATTTAGGCAGAAGGAACAAGTGCAAAGACTGAGGTTCTGGGGTACTAAGGACATCAGTTAGGGAGCTGTAGCCATAGGATAGGCAAAAAGTGATATAACTTAGGTGAAAGTGATAGCAGGGAAGGTTCAGAATCTATTCAGTATTGCTTCCCAGATTGGCTCTAGGGTAGGAAGGAGGAAAGATGAGTTACGGATGGCTATAAGGTTTTGGCTTGAGCCATTTACTGAAGAAGGGAAAAATTTCAGGAGGAACAGACTTCAGTATGTCTTTTTATATTAAGTCTGTATCTGTTAGAAATAGATTCCGAAATATTTATGTATAAACTATATCATGTCTGAGGATTGCTTTAAAATATTCCAGAAGAGAGAAAAGGGGAGTAGTTGAAACATTGACGGAATGTTGACAGTTACGAAGCTGAGTTTCATTATACTATCATACTTTTGAATGTTTTGACATTTTGCACAGTACTGTTTTTTTTTTTTTCATTATGTAAGGAAAAAAAATAATTCCAAAATGTAACACGTGAAATTTGGAATGTTGTTTGGTAATTTTCAACAAAAACATTGCTTTGTCATTTTAGTATTTAGTCAATAACTGAATTCCCAGGCTAAATTGCGTTGACATCAGTATAGTGTCAAGTGCCAAGTTTCATGCTGAGAATAGGGTAAGAACTATGCCAGTTACTCATTATAAGCAATAAGAACAGTAGGAATGGAATTTAGCTTTCACATTTCTAAATAATAATTTCTATTCAAATCAAATTATACCTTAAGGAATAGACCATTCTTTGGGTGGCCAACTGCCATATCTTTTTTCATTTTACTTAAAAATTTTTATGTTATTATGTTAACAAGTAAACACTCCCTGTTTTAAAAAAGAAAAACTATTAAACATACAAATGGGTTTCATCACTCTATTCTCACTCATAAAATCTGTTTATATGCCCTACAACTTTGAAAGAATGTTGAGGTAAAAATATATGATGAATAGATATATTCATTCCTTAACAGTCTGTTTGGGTGCTTTTATTATTCTTAACTCCCTCAAAATAATAGAATACAAAAGCATCAGGTAATTTGCCCTCCATAAATTGTTACTTTAATACTGTCTTAAAAGACATTTATTCTTGGGGCGCCTGGGTGGCTCAGTCGTTAAGCGTCTGCCTTCGGCTCAGGTCATGATCCCAGGGTCCTGGGTTTGAGCCCCACATCGGGCTCCCTGCTCAGCAGGAAGCCTGCTTCTCCCTCTCCCACTCCCCCTGCTTGTGTTCCCTCTCTCGCTGTGTCTCTGTCAAATAAATAAATAAAATCTTTAAAAAAAAAAAAAAGACATTATAGTATCTGTCTTTTTGGTCTAGACTCCTTAGTTGAGCATTACATACCCCTTTCCAGCCTTGTCTTTTCTCTCACTCACTGTATTGCTATCAAATTATTTTTTAATTTCCAAAATACCTTGTACTTTTCTAACTGTAGACTTTTTGTTCATACAGTTAAACTCATCATGAATGTCCTCTACCCCCTCTCTCTTTGTGTAGTCTTTCCTTCCCTCAAGATAAAACTTAAAGTCCATCTCAGACCACAAGAGCTTGAAGTGAACTCCTGTGGCATTTTTCAATTCTGTACGATCATGTGGCATTTTTCTTCTAATGAACTGTTATGTAAGGTCCCTCGGAGCTATAAAATTCTGTTTCTCTATGGCTTTCCCATCTTTAATATAAAGTTTGTATCAACTCTGTTTCTTATTCCCCTCTCACAGTATCCAACATTGTTCTTTTAAATTTTTTCTATCATTTCAACCAGGCAGGGTATCCATATGCAAAGTTTACTCTTTGAATCATTTAGCATGTTAAATAATTTTGTTCTTTTTATTAGTATTTTTCTAACATTATATCTGCTGAACTTGAAGTTGACTAATGCCAGTCTAAAATATTAAACTGTTTAATTCAATCTGTATTTATTGAGTACCTCCTAGGTGCTTGGCACTGAAGTACAAAGATGAATGAGACCTAGTTGCTGCCCTCAAAGACTTCATAGTCTAGCCCCATTTTGTCATAATTATTTTTTCTTTGTAGTAAATATCCATTTTTTGAAGTACTCTTCTGTTACTTCATTTGATAAATGTTTCAAGTGGACACATTTTTACTTCAGAATTGATACTGAAGCAAAAGTTTGCTCACCATCTTTAAAATAAGACCATATGCTTTCCAAAAAAAAATTTCAACTTTAATTACTTAGGAGTTTCGTTTTAATTTTCTAACATTTCCTTTGAACCTACTGAAGTTATACTATGAACTTCATGAATGCCAGCTGTTTTCTGAGGGGGGAAAAAGTCTTTAATATTTAGTTGCAAGCTTGGCTTTCATCTCTGATTTAATTTAGCAAACGATGGTGTGTCTAACCTGGAGAGGTAAAGATGAATATGCTGCTGCCCTCAACTAACTCCTGTTAGATCCTATCTGGATGGAATTCCAACTTGTCCAAACATTGGTCCAAGCCCTTTTGAAATCCTGTTTCCTTTATGGAATTTAAACTGTAACAACTTCACCATGTCTCTCAAATTCTATAAACAAAACATGTCACATTCAAAGTCCATACATTTTCTCATTACGTAAAAACTTTGCATATTTACTGTTACCCAAAACTTCATATCCTTTGGTGTTATTGATGTTAATTTAGTAAACTACTAAATAGAAGATGGTTTATTAACCTGAT